CATGTAAGACAAAAATAAAATTTCCAATATTACAGACCTTCTAGAGCAGATGCCGAGAAAACTATACAATTTATTGAAAAACTTGACGGTCTCACCTGTAGCAAATTGAATATGCTTTTTTTGGTTCAAAGTAGTCATGTCACTAGGACGCATAGTTTCCGAGGATTAAGCGAAAAACCGAAAAGTGGCACCTTTAAACCCCCCTCTCCCCGCCGGCTCAAGGGCTAAGGGCGGGGACTTTTGCAATGTTCACCTCCTAACTAGTCTAAATAAAGTCCTGAAGTCAGAAATTGTGTTCTACAGTTTTCCATCTATAATGCTTTATTGACTGGACTAATGATTGATGAACAATGAACATCTCAGACTATGTTTATTTATACGTCATACTTAACTAACTTGACGATCTTGAATGCATCTTGACTCTTGTACATAGAATGTCTTCATGTACTTACTTGTGGTTAGTTTTGAAACTTGAATCTCCTCGCGGGTTCTGATTCCCTGGTACTTTGGTCGCGATTCAGCTCAATACTTAGGGTCGGGTGTTAGTGCGGCGGCGCGACGGACTTGCGCCGTAGCTCTGATTCTAGAACTCCTAGATTTCAGAAGGCCCTAACGACACAACCTATGCGCCAAGCTCACCATCCCTAATGCCCGGGTGCTAAGGACGATCATTTCCACAGGACACAAATCAATAACCGTTCATGGAACGTGCCAACTCCCGCCGTTTTCTGCCAGCCTGGTAGGATTAGATCTGCCGCGCTCGCCGCAGACCCGTTGCCATGGTTACTTGGCTAGCGTCGGATCAAACTACCTCCTAAAAGCTCCTGGTCCCCGGGGCGGCAGATCTCTTTTACGGGCCCTGTTGGCATGACAACGGAACTTTTGTTTACATTTTTGGTAGCTTCTGTGCTAAGTCCAGCAAACTTTTAAAAAACCTCCTGTAAATATAATAACATGTGTGTTCGGTATTATTAAAAGTAGGTATATATTCCTACTTTTTCCAACTAGCTACATAAACTATTTTTTTAATGAAAAAATCTGAAACTTTAGATATAATTGTCGAATTTTGAAAAGCTCATGGTATAATATTATGTCATTTAAGTACCTAATTGCTAATACTAATATTATTCATACTGTTGATAGCGTTTCTACGCAAAGGAGAATATTATATTCATTCATGTTTACTACGTACGTGCAAAAGATAATTAAAATATACATATAGCGGTACTGCTACCAGGAGTCCATACAACATAGCAAGTGTTTTGCTCTATAATACGTGGTGCAGCCAATAAAGGGGTAAACTTTCTCTTAACACTGTACTGTAATAAGGATGAAAATGTTCAGCTACTTTTGTTGTTCATTGTACCCCCCACCCTGAAATCGGATTGATGTATCTGTGCATAAAATGCAATAGAGGAGAGAGCCTTATCATCTCTCCCATTTGCTCTTTCGTAAATAAAAGTGACAGCAGGATATTTCTATTCTTTTCGGGTGTTAAGTTAGTAATTGCGCATGTACCTACTTTTACTTTCGTTTTGATTGCAGTTCTCGTTTGCACTCACGGGGATGCAAGGGATAGCTTTAAATATTGATTTTACAGGTAACCTATATTTTAAAGCCCAACCTAGTGACCTAGCGGGTGGCCGTTGCTCTCCTCCTGGTACCGTGATACAGACCTATGGACTATGTAGAATTATATCTATAGATTGCTTTCTTTGTTCCGAAAATGAAAAATGAGTGAGCTTATTTTGAACGAAAACTAATTTGTCAATCTTCAGGCATAGGCCGTGCCAATGTCAGAAGTGACGTCATATGGGAGGCGTGTCTCATGGATTCCCGACAAATATCATCTAATTTCGCAAATTCTTCTGTAAGACCTTGGCACATGATTTAGATGGAAGTGCGCACAATATTACAATAATGTACTTTGTTGTCGTCATACATCATAAGTGTATTGCTTATTAGAGCCTCGTGACGGTAGTACAATAGACCGGCTGTTATTTGTGAAACTGGACCTGATATACAATAATGTCGTGCCTATATTGTTGACATTGATTTATTTGTTGCAAATATTGCTTAGGAAAGCGTCCGCGACCGATGTGTCGCAGTATGACGTGTAAATTTGCACTGTAATATAAATTTCTATTAAATTATTTCGATATACAATCTACTTATACCTTATAGCTTGTTCACACATTCTTAAATATTATTTTCGTCCAGTGTCCAAATCTTACCATGCCTGGCACATAAAGCTTAATAGAATACCTATCATTTAATTTTCATACCTAAATCAAGAATGTGACTTACATTTATAATTTTATTGCAAAAACACGCAGCATTGACATGACCATGCATGCACCATAAAGTTAATATTCCTTCGGAAAAGGAATATTAACTCTAAGTGCATGCACTTAGTAATTTATAAGGGTGAATAGGTTAGGTACCTTTCGCAAACCTAACGTCGTAGATTTTACTTGTATTGGACCATTCGTAAGAACATAACATTACATAGGAATGCTTGAGAAAATGCTCTAGTCTAAAAGAAACGGCAACATCAGAAGAACTTTTAGGTGGGGAAAATTTTGCACATCGACAGAGATTATTTCGAAACATCAATTTTCAGCTTCAATTTCCGTTTACACAAAACATCCGTGTAGTGCATTGTTTGGTTAAATAGAAATATGTACCTATTTCTGACTCGACTGGGAGAAGGAGACTACAATTAGATGGGGTTATTGACATTGAAAACGGCTAAACGATTTTGGAAACTGAAAAAGGTTTGGTAAAAAAAAGTGGCATGCCGTCATAAAATTCAATGTCAAGAATTACCTACTTACTTGGTTTAACCTCTTACTTGGTTTAACCAACCTATAATATGTAACGTTATAACGTACCTACTTAATGGACTCGACTGATTATATTTTTCTAATCCCCTTACATTTTTACCTGAGGCCTGAGAGGATTTTTTTTACTCGTAGTTATGAGAAAGTTTAGAAGTAGCGTTCAAAACTTGTCATTATGTAGGTACAAGATTATACCTACAGTACAACAAAACCTTTAGCTTATGTCAACATACATACGTGTTGGTCAACACTTACATAACATAACATTACCTTAGAATGATCAAGATTGATCTTGAACAATGTCAACCTCATCTTATTTTTCTACAGCGCACTATAAGTAGGTACATACATACCATCTTTGTCTAGCTACAGTCGGTTAAACATTATTGATTGAAAACAGCAATCATTGGTTTCAATCGTATTACATAATGTATCATTCAGGAAGCTGACTTGTCAATGAAATCGTTGTCCACAATTGTCGATCATCATTTGTGGCAAAACATTTGATCTTTGATCAGAGTAGAAACTACCTATTTATTCTTGATGATCTTATGAAACTTTTTCAGAATTTCATAACCAAGTGACGACATGGCTTTCGTAATTTATCTATGTTTGAAATGTGTTATTAGTTTCTCAAATGCTTACATTTCTACTGTACTTACACGCTCTTTCACTGTAGCTGCTGCAAGTAAAATCACAGAATAATAATAAGTACTGTAAAATACAGCATTCGAAAAGTTTCGTACGATATTACGTAGCTTCCATAACAATGGATGAGCTATGGCTATGGGCTTCAAAACTGGTTTCTTCCCAATTTATTATTCGCAACCAGTTCGAGCCTGTTCATGTGCCACTGATGGCAGACCAATAGCTTGTGAACTCTTCCACGGCAACTTAAACTTTAACTCCGTCTGTTAGTTCTCAAAATTGACTATCGACGGATACTTAGACCATGGAAGGCTTTTTGAATAAAATTAGGGGAATTTTATTAATGCACACAAAATACTCGTGACTCATGCACATAAACGGAGGGGAGAACCTATGCCTGAGAACGCAAGCCCTTTTTAGTCTAGATTCCTATTTCGATAACACTCAAATTGAACACGAAATGTTTTACGAGTAGAATAGGTAAAATTATACGCTGCTTCAAAAACGTAAACAACAAGTTAAAGGAAAAATAATTGATCAGTACATAGCAGTCATGTGGGCTTCAAAATGAAAAATAAAGATTTATTATAGCTACTTATAGTAGGTAGTTGAAGTTTCAATTTCAGTTACAAACATTTCTGTGCCAATTTTCTTAACGAATGATGACCAAAAATATTTGTATGTATGAATGAGTTATGTAGGTATGTGATAAACTCCTAATGGAAGACCCAGTGACGCTAATGTCCTCAGGCAACGTTAGGTATTTATTACTTTGCACAGTTTATATACAACATATGCCTACCTGGTTACTTCAGAAACATGTGTCTAACTTAAAGAATTCAATTATTTGGTATTTGTGTCACGTTTCAGTTCAGGAGGAGAAGGTATTGTGAAACGTTTTCAAATAAAATCTTGTTTAAACTACGTGACGGTGACATAAAGACGTAATTTAATGACTTAAAGCTATTTGAAGATCTACTAGAAAAAAGTTTATATCAGAATAAGGCTATCTGTCTGTCCGTTTCAGGGATATTGTGGAATTAATTATTTCTACTACAGGTATTTGAGAAGACTGATAAAAAAGTTCAAATTGCAAACATGAAATGGAAATCTGGCCGCATCATCGTGGTGCTGTGCCATTAAGGCAACGATAAACTAGCTTAGGCTAAAAAGGTTAGAATCGATGCCAGTCCGGGAGATTCGCGATTGCTTCGGCCGTGCGCGGGAGCAACGTCTATTTTTAGCATCCAAAAATAACGACTCACGGCGTGGTCACGTGTTCGGTAAACATGAACCGAGCCCCCACTTCGGAAGCACGTCATAGCCACTTCCCTGGTCAAGATACGATCATTTTTTCATGTTATTTCTAAGGGCTACAATATGCAAGAGTCATTACGCGTTCGTTGCACACAGTAAAGTCATAATGATTTACATAGGTGAAAAATAAAATGCTAAGCGAATGATTTTTTTTTTCAAAATTAATAACTGTTTGTTTTTTCTTTGTTACAGAAACCCCAAATGCGGCCCATGATAGCCGAATATGACCCCAAGAAAAAAGGAGTCAGAAATGACTTGTCAGATGTCGTTATGGTCAAGTAAGTTCCCCTGTTCCCACGCATTGTTCAGGACTCAGAAATCATGAAAGCAATAATAATCACCGACCTAGCTTTGACTGCCTTTATGTGTTGTCAATAATTTAAATTGATTGGTGCCACACCCGATGAAATGTTTTGTGCTTTCTTAGTAAAATCAACTTAGAAAATGAATCAACAAGCATGCCTCACAGCTTAACTTCATATTTTTGTTCAATCAAAAGATATTATTTTGAAATTATTGCAGAATTCTTAAACTAATGATATTGACATTTTTGTTCAACAGGAAATCGAAAAGATAGTTTTTAATGCTACTGTAGATCGGTATTTAGAACTTCAATTATGGTGCCCCTCGGGGCGCGAGCTGCCTTTCGAACTTACTCTGTTTTTGAAAAATATTACATTGTCGTGGTATTTTATATTGTATGTTGACTGTTAAGTATTCGCTCCTTTAACGAGCTAATAATGCTCGACGCCTTCGGGACGATCCGGGAAGACGTGTGCTGCTTCCACGAGATTAAAGTCATTCGTCGACCTTGATCATCTAGCAATGGACTCATACACCGGTACATCATTCCATTTTATGGTTTCAATTTTGTTTATTTAATTTGTTTTGTTTGGTTCTGTTAAATATTATGTCATCTGCTGAGCGACCGCATGCACCGGCCCACGCGCCGCCTGGGCCGGTGGCGGCCGCTCGTGCGCCATCTCTGTTCAGGCTCGGGATTGGCTCTAGCACTGGAGATTTGTACAAATTTGATTTAGCTTTATGTCTATTTTACTTATCTCAATTGAAAACCTGCAACAACACCAGAAAATAGTCGAAGATTAAATCTTGTTGTACAATTTCCTCGTCGGAGACGTCCTTGTAGTCTTTCATGACCTCTACGTAAAGCTGTATTGAATTTATAGTTGAGCCATCTTTTTGTAAATGCCGAGTCTTAACAGAGTGAAGCGCACCGAAAAAAGAAACTGTACATTATTTTGGAGACCATAATGAATGTATCACACTTTACACAAAACACTGACACACAGTAGAGATTCTGCTAACATTTTGTAGTAAGATCCATTCGCGTTTTTTAACGTTGCCACAAAGTTAGTAGTCCTCGCGAGTAAGTAGTTATCCGACCGCCCGCGACCGCGACACCACCTCGTACACACCTCGATCATTTCATATTCAAGCTTGAAATGTGGCGCTTTATATGTTACCGCTACCATCAAAGTACATGGTTATGCTTAAATTCGACTTAGTGAATGATTGTTTTTTACACTCTTATACCGACTCACTTCTAACCTATCAACATCACTTAATTAGTTGGTGCTGTATCAGTTATGTCAATTACTATAACAGTTTTTGGGAAAACATTCCACAGGTACAAAGTTGACCCGAATGAGATCCCTGTGGAACAACAGGCGGGGTCAACCCTACCTCTTATGGAGATTCCTGGTCGGGATGTGGAGGCGGACGAAGACTATAATCCGTTTGAGCACAGGAAACTTGCTCATCCTACATCGTAAGTGCACTGACGTTGCGTTCATTTAACACATTCACAAATTCTTGCACTTACATTTTTGCATACTTATTATGAAAGCTTTATCCAGTCAGAATTAAATTTTTCAGTAGCGTGATTTTAAATGAATAATTTTAGAGGTACCTTACTTAATTGGTGTTAAGTATAATAAGTTATAGACGTCAAACATAAATTCGTACTTTACTTAATACATTTTAAATTAATTAAACTCTATATCGTCAAAATTAAAAGTAATCAATACAATACAGAATATAAATAAAGGTAACTAACTATACATGGTGATTACAATATTTAAAATTTCGTTTTCAGAGACATGGACACTCTCATCCATCTCCTAAAGGGCTCCCTCGGAAGCGGTATCCTGGCTATGCCAATGGCATTCCTGAACGCAGGTCTCTACTTCGGGCTGGTGGCCACGTTCGCGATCGGAGGCATCTGCACGTATTGCGTGCACGTCCTGGTCAGGACCTCGCATGACCTGTGCAGAAGAATGCAAAAACCATCTCTGGGATTTGCCGAAACCGCTGAAGCCGCATTTTTATCTGGACCTCCCGCAATGCACAAGTTTTCTAGGCTTGCTAAGTAAGTACACAATGACCTGTTGTAGTTAATCCGTTTCTTCAAGTTTTATTCGTACTTCCTGCATACTTACTTTGTATGAGTATTTAAAATCTTAATTGACACTTTGAAAATATAAATCTAAACTGCACTTAATTAACACATAATATGACTCGTGAATCACGATTTCTTTTTTCTGCATCACTAAACGTCTCGTGTACTTGTTTCAGAGCAATGGTTAATTGGTTTTTGGTAATAGATCTACTAGGCTGCTGCTGCGTCTACATAGTATTCGTCTCCAAGAATGTCAAGCAAGTTGTGGATTATTACACAAAGGATTCCAAGGATTATCATGACATCGATCTCAGAATTTACATGGCTGTGCTTCTCCCTCTTCTTATCACGGTGAACTTGATCAGGAACCTGAAATATCTCGCACCATTCTCAATGATTGCGAACCTTTTGGTCGGAACCGGCATGGGTATCACCGTTTACTACCTCTTTCAAGACGTGCCAAGCATTAGCGACCGATCACCTTTTGCTGGATTCGAACGCTTGCCAACCTTCTTTGGAACTGCTATCTTCGCTCTTGAAGGCATTGGTGTTGTCATGCCCCTTGAAAACAACATGAAGACGCCGACTCACTTCATCGGATGCCCAGGCGTTCTCAACACTGGCATGTTCTTCGTGGTTTCTCTGTACGCCTTCATCGGCTTCACCGGATACCTCAAGTATGGGCCAGACACTCAGAGCAGCATCACGCTCAATCTGCCTGAAGACGAAGTGTAAGTATTAGTAACTAACTGTCTAAAAACGTGTCACTTTTTTAAACTATGTAGGACTTATTATAGTCAATTTTATTTTAATCCAGTCAAATATCGTATTTACTATATTATATTTTCTCTCTACATAGATTTATAGGATATTTATTAAATTTTTAATCTCAAACTAAATTATAAATTATTATATTGATTACCTTGAAAAAAATCGATCTGCCTAAGGTCGGAAATGTCGGAATCGAGCCCACGATTAATAGGATATCCATTAATAGTAAAAAATATTATTTCAGATTGGGACAGAGTGTTAAGCTGATGATCGCTGTAGCAATCTTCTTCACATACAGTCTCCAATTCTACGTGCCCATGGAAATCATCTGGAAGAATGTTCGTCACTGGTTCGGTGCCAAGAAGAACCTCGCCGAGTACAGCATCAGGATCGCTCTCGTGGTGATGACAGTTTGCATAGCTATTGCCATCCCGAACCTTGGACCCTTCATCTCGCTCGTTGGCGCCGTCTGTCTCTCCTTCTTGGGTCTTATCTTCCCTGCCGTGATCGAAACTGTCACTTACTGGGACCGACCTAACGGACTTGGCACATGCTACTGGGTGCTGTGGAAGAATCTCTTCCTTATTTCTTTTGGAATCCTCGGCTTCCTCACTGGTTCCTATGTAAGTGTTCTCGATATAATCAAAGGAGAAGATTAATCTAAGCAGCGCATGACTACTCGGTATACGGCTCCGATCCGAATATTAAGGGTTAGGAATTAAAAAGTGAAATTACCTTTATAATTCTGGCTAGTTTTTTATTATGTTACATTTCAATAAACGCTATATTTCCGACTTACAAAAATTTTATTTTCTGTAATGCTCAAATATCTTTGTTTGAGATTATATTAGTATTTTATAATTCACGTGCAGTAAGTAGGTTGTGTTTCTTATTGTTACTAGCTCCGAACGCCTCTGTAGCCATTTCCTAGATGTAAGACATGTATGTAGATAAAATATCTAAATTAAAATGTGTGAGAATATTTCTAGTGCATTATCGAAATGTGATACAACTCTAGGTTAGTAAAAAAAGGCATTAGTTGCTACGTATAAGAAAATTTTACTTACAAAAATTATAATTTTTGGATCTACATTTAACTAATTAGTTGCAAGTTTGGGAACCCCATTATTATGTGACATACAACTGTAGTGGGAACAAATCATTTGTTCCCACAATATGGCTAAAACCCTGCGGGTTGTAAATTCGAAAACAATGTTGGTGATAAGATGGCATTTTTCATTACCAAAAAAGATATATCTGCTTAGGTAGTACGTAGATATTAATGTCGAGCTTTTTTAAAATTTATGAACTGAAGCATTTAATCTTGAGGTGCCTAAGGTACGTAAGTAAGATTCATCCTCAGTATCATGAACTTGAAAATGTTATAGTGAGAAAATAATATAATTAAAAAACAAATTAATATGTATTATTTGTGATTCGTGACAGTAAAAGAATCTTCAATAGAGTTAAGATAATATTGACACAAAGTGAAAAGTTTAATGTTTTTGTTATACAAACACCTGAACACAACTGAAAATTTTATGCCTTGAATCAAATTGTTGTATTGAATCTGATCCTTAGATTTAGGATAAAGACTGTCAGTATTTTTTGTAAAATTTTCTTTAGAAAGAAGAGAAATTTCTGGTGACATCTCAAATAACGTACACACAAACTCGATTATGCGATGTTCCTTATGTGAGTCAGTTTCTGATATTTATTACATAATAATCTGGTTGGATGTGTGCGGTTAGCATAAGTGATTTACTGATTAAGACTAATAACGTAAATATACATAGAATGATTGCTATAAAAACTAGGCCCTTTTGCCTGGGGTTGTATTAGTCATTCTCTTAGTTGTAAGTTTTCATCGGGCTGTAGGCCAGGAATTGCTTTTTTGACAAATATGATTATATAGGTAGTCCTTGGTGTTGACAAAGAGATCATTCTCTTACGAGCTAAAATTAAAATTGTATGGACACACAACAATCATCTGTCTAATTCAAATAAATATTATAATTATTTTTCATATTTTAACTAAGATTTTGGAGAAATCATGTCTGATATTTTGATGGAGTGTTTTAAATCTTTCATAACGATTACAAAAGTCAATTTGGTAAAAAATCAATAATTTTTGAATACATGTACTCTTGTTATGCCTAATAATAGTAAACAGATATTGCTATGAAAATTTGAACCATTTTCGTAGAATTTACATACTTTAATGAAACCATTCCTCATTCCTATAACTAAAAATATATCGATTTGATTTATCAAACTACCTATTTTAGATAGTTATGGTTGTTTTGTTACAGTATTAAATAGTTCAGATTTAAGGGAATCTGTGTTTTATTTCTATAAATCCATTTAGGGTTAAGTTAACTGGAGCTATGCATAAGAGGTGAAAAATCGGAATTTATATGGAATTCGAAATGCCAGACCACTTTTGATAATAAAGAAAGAAATTTCAGCGAAAGAGTATTGACATAATTATTTTGATCCAACCAGGCCACTTGTTCTAAGCTACCTACTGATGCGTCACCGCTCGGATTGGGAGCTGTTCTCTCTCATAGATAATACCCTGATGGGTCCGAACGGCCAATCGTGTTTGCGTCGAGATCTTTAAATTCAAGTGAAAAGAAGTAGGTATACTTAGTCAAATTGACAAAGAAGCAACATCTATACCTACATTGAGGGTTAAAGAAATTCTTCCACCAAATACAGCAAATTAGCACACTGGAGATAGGGTCGCAAGTCATCGCTCGAGAAACTGCTAAAGATAATGAACTTAAGCTTAAAATCACAATACTAGAAGCGCTGAAATCAGGACGATCTCTGAAACATTTTACAAAGATAATGAACTTACTCTACAAAATGATTGCATTTTTAAAAGAAATACCCTGCGTATTTATTCCAAAAAACTTACACATTCAGATACTAAACGAATTACATGCGGGCCATATTGGGTTACTGGCTCGTAGCTATTTTTTTTGGAAGAATATAGACAAAGATATAGAAAATAAAGTAAATAAATTTGCAAAGCATGTCGTTTAGAACAACATCAACCAACTCGAGCTCCTTAGATTCATCACTGGGAAGAACCAAACGGTCCATGGCAAAGAGTTCATATCGACTTCGCAGGTCCATCAAATGGACATATTCTCTTCATTATCGTTGACGCATTTTCGAAATGGGTTGAAATATCCCAACAAAAATCACTACAAGTTCATGGTGCATGCTGAAAGGTTCGTACAGAGCATCAAGAGCGCACTGCGTGCAATGGCGGGGGAGAGAGGCGACTCTAGAGATTAAATATCGACTGAGGCGTAGGTACCCCTGGCGCTAGCTAGTGGACACTCAGCTTACGAGCTCATGTTTGGCCGAGAAGTAAGGACTAGACTTCATACTGTGCTCAAAACCCCATCAGTCACTCCATCGAGAAATAATGGCACATTGGCCTTACCTTCAAGACTGCATTTTGTTTGTGGAGACAGAGTGCAGGCTAGACTTTACGGAAGCTCCGCACAGAAGTGGACATTTGCCACAGTGGTACAGCGCCTGGGCAAGCTGCACTATGTCGTGCGTACGGACGGCGGTTTGACCTGGACGCGCCATCTTGACCAGCTGCTGCCGGCGCCACTGGTGCCAGCAGTGCCGCAGAATCGCGGCGGAGGCGTGTCATGTCTGACCTTCTTTATGGTTGCTTAACAACATGTGATTTCATTGTTATGACATAGCATGTAAATAAAGATTCAATATTTAACTAGGGCCGTTGGGGCAGGAAAGTTCTCGAGTGGCGACCACGGGCTGGAAGACGTAGCGTGGGCAGGCCTCCTACTAGGTGGACCGACGATCTGGTAAAGGTCACGGGTAGAGCCTGGATGCGGGCAGCGCAGGACCGTTCATTATGGAAAACCTTGGGGGAGGCCTTTGTCCAGCAGTGGGCGTCATTTGGCTGAAACGAACGACCGAACGATTTATCAAAGAATATTATTTTATGTATTAGATAGGTACCTAATTATTTATTTCCACTTTCCCGACAAACGTTTAATTTAATTTATTGTCCGTGGTGCATAATCTTTTTCTTAAAGGTTTTAAACCTTTGTTTGTCACCTGTCATCCGCTTTGCAATGGAGGGAAGTCGAACCTTAATTTCGAACTCCTCCTATATTCTTTTGATTAATTTCGTTGCGGGTCCAATGACAGTTTAACTTTCCCCCGGGACAAACTTGACCTTCATTGGTTGGGTTTTTGTGGCGGTCAAGCTGTAGATCCTGGCTACACAGGAGTTGCAGTGGTGGGAACGAGAGGTGGACCGGTTGTTAGTGTGGCAGAAAGTATGAACGTCAAAAAGTCCCAGTGCCAAAATGTACATTGTTACCATGGTTACAATGGTTTAGTGACAAATGGTACACATCACAAAATACAAGTACAACAAAAGGTGTGATAGATAAAATGATCAACTGATATATTGTGCTCATGAATACATTAATAAAATTAAATGTCAAAATGTTCAATGTTCTTGTAGTCTAGTCAATAAAGTTTTATTAATAGTTAAAATGATCTGAAGTTAAAATGTCTTTGGGTTTATTTGAACAAGCGTCTTATTGTATAATAGCTAACGTGAACACGTGTTTAAAAACATCAAGGTAAAAATGTCCAAAAAAACTTTATTGACTAGACTGCAAGAACATTGAACATTTTGACATTTAATTTTATTAATTTATTCATGAGCACAATATATCAGTTGATTATTTTATCTATCACACCTTTTGTTGTACTTGTATTTTGTGATGTGTACCATTTGTCACTAAACCATTGTAACCATGGTAACAATGTACATTTTGGCACTGGGACTTTTTGACGTTCATACTTTCTGCCACACTAACAACCGGTCCGTATGGACATTTTGACACCTGCACATTCCAACCGTTGAGCGTTTTTTCGCATTTACTACCCAGTCCCTGAATGATATTTCTAAACACACGCGGGCGAAGCCAAAGCCGCGGTAAAAAAGCTAGTCACTTTTCCTTTACCAAGCAAAGTAGGATTAAAATAATACTTAGTTCAGAGTATCGAAATTTAAGCGACTCTTACTAATTCGCAGCACAAAGGGACCCTCAACTAAACACTAGTCGTAAGTCAGGCTTGTAAAGCTATCAGGCTTAGCTCGGGGCAGATTAGCGACTGACCGCGCAAGAGCTAGATGGGACTGGAGGTGGATTCGCGCCTTAATGCCTACTAAGTGAGAATTCCATTCCGAGTACACAAGTGCCCCTTTAGTCAGGCGAAATCTAAGGATAATTAAGTGGCTTTGAGACTAGAGGCTATACTCGTAGTTATAAATAATTTACCTATCAGGGTATTTGTGCGCTTAGGCAACACTTTAAAAAAGAGAGAAGTTATGCTCGTTTTCACTACCAATTCCTAATTTTTAAGTGACCCTATGAAAATGAAGTTCCTTTTATGCGTTACCATAGGGGTCACTTAAAAATTAGGGATTGATGGTACAAACAGACATTAGACTAATAAAAGAGAGCCTTTAACCCCCTAAATGTCTGTAAAAAAATTACTATATTTTGTCATAAATATACTAAGAAGAAGCTCCGTGACCGCAACAAACTCAGTCACCTCTCTCTATCGGTAAAAGTACTAATACTAGTCCGGTCTGAATTTACTACGCAGATTTAAAATTACAGTTGTTGTTGTTTCAGCCAAATGACGTCCACTGCTGGACAAAGGCCTCCCCCAAGGTTTTCCACAATGAACGGTCCTGCGCTGCCCGCATCCAGGCTCTTCCCGCGACCTTTACCAGATCGTCGGTCCACCTAGTAGGAGGCCTGCCCACGCTACGTCTTAAAATTACAGTAAAGGTTAAAATTAGCATAGGTACCTAAGTGATTCATTTAGTCATTTGATTAGCTTATTTGAGCAAATGTCTTACCAGTAGTTAATCAAACAACAAAAGTTATTTGCGTATTTTTCTTCTGACCAACCACCTCACGTACCAACTTACGGTATGGAACGTTCTTGAGTTATGAGTTGCCTAAGTCTTTATTGAATTTAGGAGTTCCCGACGAAAAACTCTATCCCTTCGTAAGTACATTAAGGGAACGAAAAGAGTAAACGTCAATATTTTAGTTAAGTGGATACCTAGGTATCCTTAAGGGTATCCTCGATGGATTATCCTCAAATTCGTAATTATGTTGGATATTATACTTTTTTCAATTTCAACTTCCAAATGGTTGCTTATTAAAATTTAATCAAAGTAAATCAGTCAAACGGACACATCATCATCATCATGATAGTCATTAAGTCACCACTGCTGGACTACAACCCACTCTAATTTACCAGAGACAAAAGAAATATTTTTTTCATGCATAACAAGGCTGGTATTTGACCGCAATCGCACCTGGTGTTAAGTGAGATGCAGTCTAGGATGGTACATATCTGCCCTGTAAGTGCCTATTCACTCTCACCTTGAAAAGGCACGGATTATAGTGGTTAGGAAAGACAGCAGCAGGCAGCGAATTCCAGTCCCTAGCTTTTCGCATTATAAAAGAGCTTGCATTATAAAACTCTACTATTACCAATATTAAAATCTTAATAAAAGTAAATATGCAGCAGCAACAACAACAATCTCTATTTGATCCACATTATAAACTCGATTCAGACTAAAAACTACCATCAACAATATTGGTAGAATTCTAAACTAGATAGATACCTAATCATAACCCAAACTAGTTTTTAGTTTCAGTCGCTCAGTTCAGGAATACCGGCCTTAGGTTTTTTAATTTTTGCCGAACTGGCACACATTGTTACTGATATTGTGAAATACCGAACCTACATAGAAATATTTGGACATTTTTCTAGGAACAACGTATTAGGGTATTTCTCATCGCTACGGTTCTCATCGTCACCTTCGTGGCAAATTTTATTTCTAACTTTTTTCAACTTTTTGTAAACAAAAATTGTAGCGCTTGATGTAAAGATTGTATTCTTAGTAAATCAGTCAAATAGTGAGTCTCGTTTGGAAGCTTTAACGTTTTGAATTTTTTGATGCCACGAAAGTGATTCTGTACTTCACAGCAATATTTTTTTCAAACTTTACTACTGTAAATGACTCTTAAGTGTTTATAAAACATATATTTAGTCTTATTTTCATAGATAAATAGCAATAACATACTATAAATAGGTACCTACTTAAAAACAAGA